GGGGGGGGTAAAAAAATCGGACGACCCGGCCCTCACAATCGCAGCCGGAGGCGTTCGCAAGTTTCAACGGACATCCGCCCCCGAACGTTTAATTCACTTTAATCCTTTACCGCCATGACTCGCGATCGAGCGCGCGTAAATCGTCCCGAAGTCGACGAAATAAGTGCTGGAAAACGTTTTCGGCTATCTCGGGCGTTCCCCGAGACCCTCATTGTTTCCTCGAGGGCGTAAACGTTGTTTCTTTCGGTGTACAACCTTCGATACGCGGTTGCGATCTTTCACGTATATCGAAAAAGCTGCGCGATTCTCGCGGAGAGCGATCGAGAGGAAAGATTGATGAAAAGCTATATAATTCTTTGTGAACGGAGGAGAAATCACGTGCAATTCTGACGGGCGATATATGAGATACGATTTTTGATAAATTAAAAATGCTTGGAGCTTTCAACAAGCTATATCGTGTAATTTTCATTCCTCATATATTTTTTCATCTCTTCGAGATCGGAGTTTATTATTTGCGCACAGATCGCGAACCTGTTTAGTCGATCTGGCTACATCCGAGAGATGTTGCAGAAATTGAATCTAATAACACGCTCCGTTCTCCGATGGTACGTTGAATCGATCTAGGTACACCATTTACGGACTATTTTAAGATGAAACTATCCGATGCATGCCGTACTATCGTTGTAAGAACACTGGCGCAGCAACAATTGCATTATTTCGATATACCCGGGCTTACCCGGCGATACAGAAAGTTTACGCAGGGTTTCCTGTTTTTATCAAATGATTCCGCATCTCTTCGCTATACATTTATGATTCTTTTGTCTTCATTTTTCTTCCCGGCGAACAACGGGAGAAATTATTCTCTCCATTTACCGAGTTCTACCTCGTTTTTACGAGACATATACCGTTCACCCTTGTCTCGTCATGGACACGCGATACTTTTTTACAAACTTTTTGCTCATATAATTACTTTTATAACGTGGTCCTTTATTAATTTTCTGTTTAATGAATAAATGGACGGTACATACCGCGACCTCGAAATAATGCTCGGTAGCACAGCGCGTAATACGAGAGAAATAAATTGAAATGTCTGTCGTCAACCACGTCGCTTGTGTGGCTTCATTGACGCAGAAAAGAGGAAATGAAATTTCAGAATAGACATCACACGATGTAAGGCTTTCTTGTTCTTTAAAAATTTCACTATTTGTTCATTGACTTTGTCATTTATTTCCCCTTGACTCAACAAAGCACTCTCCTCGTGCTTTAATTTTGTATTATTAATTGACTTCCTTTCTCCTTGTCTTTGCAACAACTTTGCATTTTGTCGTGGATAAATTGTTTTTAGCCGATTTAAAGGATATTTGTATTTGTTGCAAATATATATATACACACATGTTATGATATATATTTGCAACAAAATATTCGTTTTTAATTTTATCTGCAAAACGATGATGCATGTATGTTTTTTTTTATATTTTTGTTTACGCGGAAAACACAGTTGACATCTGATGACTGCCAATCCTTTGTTACATATTTTAGAATATACATTTAATAAAAAATGCTGCTTTTATATTCTACATATCTGTCGCCGTCGCGCGAAAGGTTATGTGCGAAATCCTCACACATGTTGTTTGCCAGAGATGCTTTATAAACTGAAATTTTTACTTACGGCTTTGATCAAACACTAAACTTATCGTGGAAAAAATATCGCTTATTTTATGAATTATATGACTAGTTATATTTTCTTATCATAATGATATGATAATTTTACTGATTGCATTGTTCGAAAGAATATATATATCACGAACATTATATTTACGAATGATATATATTTAACAGAATATTTAATGTAAAACAATATATAAAACATGCGAAAAAATGTATATGTAGTCAGAGTATGAAAATGTTAACGTCGTCTCTCTCGACAATACCAGAATTCTGGAGAATTTCCCATTATGCTTTCTTTTTGTTCTTTACTGCGGTACATTCTCGCGATTTTTCAAGCGTCTTTTTCTCTCTCTTTCTCTTCATCTCAAATGTTTAACCGTCGTCTAGCTATGATTTTTACGCTCGTCGTATAAGAGATGCGGCGTGTTTACTAGAAATTTCTACTTGCCAGTCCTTTTTATTTCCATTTCTCTCTCACACAGTTTTCTTTACTTAAATATTTTATCTTGTATGCATGAGAAATTCTGAAGTCTGACGTCCCGTTAAATATCCGATCCGTCTAACATCCGTCATGAAAAAAACGATAAAAGCTGTATAAAGGCAGTGTTCTTTACAGCGGAGTTTTAATAAATAAAAAGGAACTCGAGGGAAAACACCACACTTAAGTCTTTATATTCTTGAATAACTTCTTAATGTTATTGAATTAATCTACAACAAAATATTATTTATATTCTGACAACGTTTCTTTACTTATATAAATTGATGAATCAAGCTTTTGATGGTCCGTATTATGAGAAAAAATTCATATATCATATCTTGTAAAAATGGCATTCTTCTCCTATGATTATAGATAGATCTATGAAAGAAGATGTCATAAGAAATTAAATAATAAAACGCAATGTAAACTTGCATATTTTATTTATCTACAGTCAATAACCAAAAGTTTAAGTTATAAAAACATATAAAGATATCATAAAACATAAATTGAAGAAATATAAAAGAGAGTAATTTAAAAAGTAAGTTAAACATACTTTTACTCGTTTAAACAGCATTTTATTAACTTAAAATATTTTGAATTATGTAAAGCATCCAAAATTTCAATTCATAAAATCATTTAATGACAGTATTAAACATGAGAAATCCTGTTTTATATATATTTACTGTCTTTCTTCCCTAAAGTGTAAGAGGAGCATACAATTGCAACTTTTATGCATATATAAAAATATTATAAATTTATATCAATATGTATAAAAAATATATGTATTATTTGTCCCATTTTATGGTAAAAATCGAAACACAAACCTTAGCTATTTAACGTACTAAATATTATAAAAAAACATCATTCATGACCTACCTTTTCGTATTTTGTTACAATAAATATTTTTCAGTCAATTGGCACGACGAGAGTTTGATCTGCACCGATAATTACGCTATATCGTCTACTATATGCATATATGCAGTCAGGATAGCCAATGCATCATCAATGAAAAAAATATAAATGAAGTGGCACCTTTCCCTATGTGCCATCTTCTTCTGAATAACCTAATGTTATATATTTTACAACAATTGTATAATTCTGAGAATATTGACGAAAAATATTTACACTTGAAGAAACATGAATGAAACTATTGAAATACATTTATGCAGCACAAGAACGATGTTAACAAAAACCACTTTATTTCCCGATAGGTATGAGAAAAATCACGGTAAACAGGCAAAGGCAGGTACACCTTTGCGTTCTGTTTTTCGTTGCCTGAATAAAATTGTAAACGTACATTTTATATACAGTTGAGAGTAAGTAATAACCGTTTCAAAGTCCGTTGCTTTGAAAAAGAAAAACCGAAAAAGAAACGGCGTTATATCGTTAATAAGTTCGCAACATATCCAAGAAAAGGTGCGAAAAGTAGCGAGGTGTCCTTTTTTATCATACCACACTATTTCGATCTTGCGAACTTCTGACGACTTCTTTTTTCTGATCGCTACCTTCCAAAAGTTCCTGAATTTCGCGGAATGTCCGACCTTTGGTCTCAGGTACGATGAATATTACCATTACGAATGTCAGTAAGCACGATCCCGCGAAGAAATAATATACGGTGTCGACGCCCAACCAATCGCCAATCACCTGATACAATTTGGATACGATGAAACTAAGCACGCCGTCGAAAACAATAATAATGGCACCTGCAAGCGCCTTCACTTCACTAGAAAACAATTCTCCGATCAACGCATTTGGTAGAGTACCCAATCCGATATGGTAGACCACTTGGAAGATGATCACATCGATCACTGGAAGAAGATTTGCTGCTGATACGTCGACGCCTCTTTTGTCTAGCATAAAGTATACCGCAAGAATTGCCAGGGTAATGGAAGAACCCAGAGTGGAGGTGATAAGTAACGGACGTCTGCCCGCACCTTCAACAGTCGCGGTTGATAATCCGCATGAGATGAGGCCGACTGCGAGTACAAGTATGGTAGCTAAGTTGGAATCGATGCCGATCGTCGCTTTCTTGAAGAGCACTTCAAGGTATTGTATAGTACTAAAGTTTCCGCTAAGTTGCTGCGTAGCAATTAGACTGAGTACGATTACGAGAGCTCGGGCGTTGCTGGGCAACAACATCAGCTTCAGTTTGTCCCTCCAGTTACGCTTAACAGGTTTCGTTCGTGCTCCAGGGCCGATCACAGGAGTATTATCGCAAACGTCTTCGATCAAAATGTTACGTAAAGTATATTCCAATTCTCTCCTTGCTTCATCACGATCGCGGATTCCTTTAAAGAACGCCAGGGATTTAGTTGCTTCTGTTTTATGACCCCTGGCCGCGAGAAAGACAGGAGTCTCAGGAAACCAAGAGAAGCATACCACGAAGAAGATGGGTACCACGAGAAGTATACTCGTCAGAACGTGGTACGATACCCATGGACCAATACTACATGTCAACAAAGAACCGGTGAATACGTTCACGGCGATTAGAGTACCGAGGGCACCTCTAATTTTCACATCGGCAACCTCCGATACGTACATCGGATTGGTAATGTACGAGATGCTCACGCCAATGCCGAGAATAATCCTAGAAACGTAAAGAGCAACTGCGGTTTGGGCGAAGAAGACGATTGTCCAGCCGACGATGAAGAAACTGCTGGCGAACAGAAGACACTTCTTAGGACCATATCGATTGGCAAGATTGGCACTGAGGAACGAACCGATCATCGAGCCGATCTCCGTCAACGATACGATCCACGAGCCCTGGTTGTCGGTTATCTTTATTGGAACGTCACTGGCGCCGGATGTGAGTCGTGAGAGCGACGTGGTGGTCCATCCGTAGACGGTGCCAACCGCTACCATGGATAGAGTCGCTGCGAAATGGAGATTGACAGAAGATTAATGGTGATTGATTGCGCAATTGATTTTCATGTCACCTTTAAGGGGCGATATTTCGTGAAATTTGATGTGAACCTGATATACATGCTAGCCATTGCCTCCATTGTGTCCGTCCGGGTTTTGTCGTTTGTTCATCGTGATACTTGTCCTGAGAAGACGAGACTTGCGTCTTGTTAGTTTCACTACTTGATCCCGCTTCTTTTAGCACATCAATCTGCGATAGAAGTTGATATTAATTTTTTTTTGAGGGGGGAGAAAACGATGGTTTTCTACGCTACTATACGACGTTTATAGGTGGTTCAAACTGAAGCGATGTGAATAGTTTAGGTTTCTTTTTTTTAGAAAATATTAATTTTGTAGTTATTCTATGTTTTCTCAGCTGTAAATTTTACGATTGTGTAAATTTCATGACACCACCGATTACAAGTTAATCACTATTTTTCGCCAAAGTGATTTACGAAATGTTTCTGAGAACACTTGAACGTCATTGTCAATTCAAAATAAACAGCGCATCTAATACTTATGCGCACATCTTCTTGCGCGTGATGGAATGCAGAAGTCTTTTCCGAAGTGAGGAGCAACAGGTGATAGTGATTAATGTAGCAATGTAAGAAATCCAATAAAAATCACCTTCCTAAAGAACTCGAAAATTCCTTTAATTATCTATAGATAAAGAAAGAAGGAAAGAAAGAATTTTCTTATTAGCCGACTCCGGGTTCAGTCTACTCGACGGTACAAATGCTTTAAAAACTTTGATTGACCAATCGGAAGAAAGAATTTTTTAATTGGTCAGTCAAAAAATGCTTATTGAATCTGATTAAGGGAGTTCGTATAAACATAGTCTGTAGACTTACCCATACATGTAGTACAGTGTATAAATGCATATTATACCTTAATACAATACTTTTTATGTACAAATATATGTTTACCACTGCCGTGTCTCCTAATATAAAAAAAAAAAAAATGCATGATATCAGTATATGAATTTACATTTAAAAAAAAATAAAGACAGCAAGGATGCATCATGCTCATTGAAAAAGACTATTGTACCAAATTATAAAACATATATGGTATTGTCTTAATATGAATACGTGTTCGAAAACACACACACACGTAATGTAACAAATTATAAAACTCAAGTGGTACTGTCTTCATTGTGCTAAATAAAAAGTAAAACGCAAGTGTGTGATACTATTTTTATTATTCATTTAACTATAATGGTATTTGTGTAAAAGATTTGATATCAACAACTGGCATCAAGTTAAATATTTTATAGTCCTATACTTTTTCTTTTAATCAACGTAGCAGTAGTTATTAATTCGTTGTCAAAACATTGTATCACAAAATTATGTTACTTCACTCAATTCAAATATTATTCGAACACAAATTAATAAAAAAATTTTTTATAAAAAGATTTTATTTAAATAGAAATATTTTTTTGTGTAAAATGCTTTACAATGCTACAAGATCTCGAGATATCAGGTGACATGGTAATGTCTCGACGGTAAACGCAACGAGGAGGATCGAGATTATTGAATTTCAATAACAAATAAACTGATCAAGTTTTAAGTGTACCCAATAAATTGTTCGGGATATACATGAAAGTGTTACTTGCTATACATGAAAGTGTCTCTTGTTTTTATCGAGTTAGTTTCTTCTATCGCACTCTTAAGTATGTTTCACGGTCAGATAAAAATCCATTTTTTTATTGAGGTGTGAACGCAAGCATGCACGTACGTACACGGCGATAATGGTATCATCTCACTTTTACGGAAGCGTGCACACCAACGCCGCAGATGCGGCGCGTTTAATAAAAATTTTTACTCGTCCGTCCTTTTTATTTTCATTTTTCTTTCATGTGGAAACTTTTAAACAATGGTTAATCATTAGAATTTATTTTTGGAATAATTAACAATCGCTTAAGATTGTATTGTACAAAAAATGAAATAAAGGACAAAAATATAGATAAATAAGCTAACGAGAAATATTTCATTGTTCCATATCGATCTCTAAGAATTTTAGAAAAATATTAGAGAAGTATATAACTTTAATATTGCTTTTAAACCTAACAACTGTTTAAATAAAATTATAAAAACAGGAAAGAACGCACAATTGACAAAATGTCGAAAAATGAAGGCGTTACATATTTAGTATTTGAATAAAGGAAAAAACATTCAGCAGTAGGTTTAAATGTTTTGACTCTTATTATATAAATATTTTATCTTGTATCTATGAGAAATTCTGAAATCAGACGTCTCATTAAATATTCGATTCGACTAACACGAAAAAAAAAAAAAAAACGATAAGAGCTGTATAAAGACAATGGACTTCATAGTGGAATTTTAATAAATAAATATTATATTTCACGGTAACTATAAAATCTTGGAAATACTGGTAAAAAATACTTACATTTCAAGGAATACGAATAAACCATCGGGATTAATTTATGTATAGCAAAAACGATATTAACAAAAACCACTTTATTTCTCGATAGTAGGTACGAGAAAACTTGCAGTAAATAGGCAAAGGCAATTTCACCTTTCCGTCCTGTTTTTCGTTGCATGAATAAAATTGTAAACGTACATTTTATATACAGTTGAAAGTAAGTAATAGCTGTTTCAAAGTCCGTTGCTTTGAAAAGAACGTCCAATGGCGTTATATCGTTAATAAGTTCGCACCATGTCCAAAAAAAGGTGTGATAGTTGCGGAGCGTCCTCTCTTGTCATACTGTACTATTTCGATCTTGCGAACTTCTGGCGATCTTTTCTTTCTTCCCGCTACCTCCCAAAAGTTCTTGAATTTCGCGAAAAGTCCGACCTTTGGTCTCAGGTACGATGAATATTACCATTACGAATGCCAGTAAGCACGATACCGCGAAGAAATAATAAACGGTGTAGGCGCCCAACCAGTCGCCTATCACCTGATACAATTTGGATACGATGAAACCAAGCACGCCGTCGAAAACGATGATAATGGCACCGGCGAATGCTTTCGCCTCAGTCGGGAATAATTCTCCCATCAACGCGTTTGGTAGAGTACCCAATCCGATCTGGTAGGCCACTTGGAAGATGATCACATCGATCACTGGAAGAAGATTTGCTGCCGATACGTCGATGCCTCTTTCTTCTAGCATAAGGTATATCGCAAGAATCCCCAGAGTGACGGAAGAACCAAGGGTAGATACGATCAGTAACGGACGTCTGCCCGCACCTTCAACAGTCGCGGTTGATAACCCGCATGAGATGAGGCCGACTGCGAGCACAAGTATGGTAGCTACGTTGGAATCGATGCCGATTGCCGCTTTCTTGAAGAGCACTTCAAGATACTGTATAGTGCTAAAGTTTCCGCTAAGTTGCTGCGTAGCAATTAGACTGAGTATGATTCCGAGAGCTCGGGCGTTGCTGGGTAACAGCATCAGCTTCAGTTTGCCCATCCAGTTGCGCTTAACAGGTTCCGTTCGTGCTCCAGGGCCGATCACTGGAGTATTATCGCAAACGTCTTCGATCAAAACGTTACGTAAAGTATATTCCAATTCTCTCCTTGCTTCTTCACGATCGCGGATTCCTTTGAAGAATGCCAGGGATCTAGTTGCTTCTGCTCTACGACCTCTGGCCGCGAGAAAGGCGGGAGTCTCGGGGAACCAGGAGAAGCATGCCACGAAGAAGATGGGTACTGCGAGAAGTATGCCCGTCAAAACGTGGTACGACACCCATGGACCAATACTACATGTGAACAAGGAACCGGTGAACACGTTCACGGCGATTAGAGTACCGAGGGCACCTCTAATTTCGACATCGGCAACTTCCGATACGTACATCGGATTGGTAGTGTACGAAATACCTACGCCAATACCGAGAATCACCCTAGAAATGTAAAGAGCAACTACAGTCTTGACGAAGAAGACGATTGCCCAGCCGACGATGAAGAAACCGCTGGCGAGCAGGAGGCACCTCTTACGACCGTATCGATCGGCAAGACTGGCACCGAGGAACGGACCAATCATGGAACCGATCACAGTCAACGATACGATCCACGAGCCCTGGTTGTCGGTTATCTTTATTGGAACGTCGCTGGCGCCGGATGTGAGTCGTGAGAGCGACGTGGTGGTCCATCCGTAGACGGTGCCAACCGCTACCATGGATAGAGTCGCTGCGAAATGGAGATTGACAGAAGATTAATGGTGATCGATTGCGCAATTGATTTTTGTGTCATCTTTAAGAGCGCGATATTTCATGAAATATGATGTGAACCTGATATACATGCCAGCCATTGCCTCCATTGTGTCCGTTCAGGTTTTTTCGTTTGTTCGTCGTGATGCTTGTCTTGGGAAGACGAGACTTGCGTCACATTTTCACCCCTTGGTCCCGCTTCCTTTAGCACGCCAATCTGCGATAGAAATTGATATTGATTTTTTAGAGGGAAGACGACAGTTCTCTTTGCTGCTATGCGACATTTATAGCTGGCTTGAACTGAAGCGAAATGAATATTTTAAATTTCCTTCTTTATTGAGGAAAAAGTAATTTTAATAGTTATTTTAGCTTTTCTTCAGCTATAAATCATACGACAATTCTAACGTCACCGATTAAGAGTTAATCACTATTTTTTACCGAAGTGATATACGAAATGATTCTGAGAACGCTTGCACGTCATTGTCAATTCAAAATAAACAGCACATCTAATACTTGTGCGTACATCTCTTTGCGCGTGACGGAATGCAGAAGTCTTTTTCGAAGTGAGAAGCAACAGGTAATAGTGATTAATGTAGCAATATAAGAAATGAAATAAAAACCATCTTATCTTAAAGAAGTCGAATATTCCGCGATTTAGTGATGTGAAAGAATTCACTAATTCATCTCTGTTTTACTGACAATATGAAAAATTAGAGGAAATTTTAAATTAATTATTAGTGAGTAATCACGAATTAATGTGCGCCAAGCTTGGGTAATCTCGTGTAATCATATTCAAATGATTCAGTTAACATCAATTTTAAAAGTAACATAAATCTTACATATCATTATAGTGTCATATTTTCACATTCAGCAATGTATTGACATGTAACACCAAGTGTTACATTACGCTTGTATTGTTGAATGCGAAATTATAACATCGATATTATGTTATTTTTTATGCTTGACTTCCACCAATGTAATTAATTGCAATTGGTTGAACTTACTCTTTATTTTCTCCTAATGTTTAAAATTAGGAGAAGATGAAGAGTAAGTTGAATCAAGATTAAAGTTAATCTATATTGTGAAAATTAGCATTAGTTATCGACTGAGCGTTTACCGTTCTCTAATTGAGCATGGCGCCAAAGTAAGGTTGCGATCGACTGCACATGCGCATTTTTGAAGAATGATACGCCGCTTTTCATGGTCGCGTGTTTGGCTACGACGTAACCTAACCTAGCTGGATCACATCAGCGGGGCGACTATTATACATGTATTTATCACGATAGTTTAGAGCACGCGAGAACATTGACTCCTATAAAAGCGTGCGAGCAACGGCGAATGTATCTTGGCTTTCACTTCGTGGTACTCACCAACGTGTTCGCGCACCTTTTCGCGACTTTTCCAAAGCATCGCACATACCTGCCCGCAAAATGTTTGAAAATCAAATTGAACGGGACACTCATGCTCGCTTCAGAACCGCGACGGCACGATATAGATTAGTCGCTCATCCGAGCTTATCTTCGGGGATATCCCGCGAACGTACGCGACACTTGCATTTCTAACAAAATGGACACGATTTGAGACACAAGGCATTACATAAGCCTCCGATGTCGGTCAATGCCCCGTAGCACATCGTCCAATGTTGGAACATTCCCCGTTATAAATCCTGCGAGTATCACTAAACGCGGTGTAATCGATCAGCCCGATCATATTTGGAGAGAGATCCTTTTGATCCTTTTGCGGATAGGATATATAGGATGCTCAAATTTCTTGCTTTACATGAATTCTCTCTCTCTCTCTCTCTCTCTCTCTCTCTCTCTCGTTTGAAACGCGATGCTTTATCAGTGGATAATTTACGGCTTTGGCAAGTTTACTTATTTTGTAAAGATCAAATTTTACATATAATGGGATTACGCAATATCATGCGTTCCGTCCGTATTTTCCCATTTTACTTTAAGCGTTCTATATCAATCATGTTGAATCACCAAGCTCACAATTGCTCATAATTTAGACTTTCAATTTTATTTGCAAACCGTGCGTCGAAAAAAAATGGAAATTTCCGTAGAGACACCGTTCGATGTTATCGCAAACCACGTGTGCTGTGCACACGCTATAGCGCGTGCGTTTCCGTGAAAGTAAGATGATACCATTATCGCCGTGTATGTGCGTGCGTGCGTGCGTTTACAACCTCAATTAAAAAACGGGTTTTTTTTTATCAGACACATGAAACATACTTGAGAATGCGATAAAAAGAACGCGAACTTGACGAAAGCAGGAGGAGATCGATACTCACCAACGGATCCATCACTCTTGTCATGTCTTTTCCTCCCCAACCCTTTTAGAAGGTAAATATACGATGTAATACTAAAAGCAATGTGTCACACGATCGACTAACCGCTCTTCTTCAAGATGATCACTTTCACGATTTCGTTAGTACTTTGACCGCGTTTGTGGATCGGACGCGTCGCGAAAACGCGCACGCGCTGGTATTCGCCGCCTAGCTTTTGTGCCGCGTATACACATGATCGCTCTTCTTCCTTGATCTCCTTTTTTTCTTTTTAATTTTTTTTTACGTCACTCTCTCGTGACGTTCCACGTTCATGCTCCCTCCTTTTAGCAACTGTGATATTTATAATCATGCTAGAGGTCATCGGCTGTCGGTCCTCACCAACAGAGAGAGTATTTCGTGAAGAATTTAATATTTATTAATACTTTTTTATAAGAAGCAATTAATATGATCTTTTTCGAGTAAGTTAGAAACACCGAATTGGTATAAAAATTGATTAACAGTGTGCATCAATCATTGCATTAATTACTACTTAATTATGAAAAATTAACTAATACGGTATTAATCAGCGCAAAATTATAGTTATAATAATGTTAATAATATGATATTATTATAACTATAGTTGTTGTGACACGTTTTGAGGAATTTATATAACGAAACATTTACGTAATGTTACGAAATAGCAGAAATCGAAGATGGAAAGATACACGATGAAAATTATATTCTATATTATTAGAAATTGAATTTAATCTTATTGACTAAAAATTAATACAGTAAAAATATACCGAGAAATGTTGAGAATTGAAAGTTTGTCAATTTAATATAAGTGTGATCGCGGGTACAAGTACAGTTAATAATGTATGTAAATTAAGTATTGAAGTATTGTATATTGTTATGTATATCGGCTTTGTTCGTTTACGCGATAACAGAACAGCGACGCATTGCAGCTACGACGCGTGAACGGAACTGTGTCACTTACATTCGTGGCTGCAGCCATGTGAGACGAGAATGGAACAGCTGCCCTATTTCTTCTGGTGATTTTGGAGCTTCAGCTTTCAATCCAACAAGTAGTTTCCCCTTTATCGAATACTTTTAATGTCAGGTCACTCCGATATCGGTACTTTCAATTGAAAACAATACGATATGTTGAAACCACAATTGCCATTGCATTTTTCGACAAGTATTTTGCTAAATATCGATGGCTCTTCTGCTGAAGATTCCACTATTCTGCTGGAGATGGAGCAGCACTGTCGAAATTCTCTTTTAGTATTCGGTTTTAGTATTTTGCTTGCGAAGAAAACGGTCATCAGATTTTTTGCTCTCTTGACTGAAGGAAAATTGACATTAAAAAAAGCGTGAGTACTTCAAAAAATTTATCAAAATTTAGAGCACACAATTAGCCAAAGATTTTTTTATCGGAAAGCTGAAGGTTCATTCAAAAAACTGGAATTGTCAAGAAAGGAAAGGTGATAATCGCGATTGGAACATATGTGCTAAAATATGATCGGCGTATCACATCCTTTTTAGCTAATATTCACTGAATTTTTTTTTCAAACGTTGTTTCAAGTTGTTTTTTAAGTTTACTTTTTATAGTATTTAATTATTTTAAATGTTAGGATTATTTTAAATATTAAAACAGTGAAATCTCCAGCAGAAGAGTCCTTCTTTTCTAAAATTCAGTAAAGAAATTTTTTGTCAGAATGTAACAACTGTGATTCTAACATATTTAAATTATTTAAATTTTTTTTTCTGTCTTTCTCTCGTTTTCTCTACTCTCTTTCTTTTTATTCTTCAAATTATAGTCAAAATAAATATTGACAAGTAGAGATACATGGCAATATAACCTTACTTGTTTCACAAGAAGGCTACGCATTTATTATTTATGTATAAGAACATATATATAATTCTAAAGTTTATTTCAAGGAAATATGATAACAGATCGAAAATTATTATCTACCATTTTTATATACTCACCGCAATCGTACGATTCACTCTGACCAACAGTTCGAAATAACTTGTTTAATTTTTATTACTTTGCAGTTTTTTCCGCTGTTCTATTTCCACTCTATCTACTTAACGACACGAAGGTTGCAATTAAGAGACTAATTATCAGTCAACTTTAGCGGCTGTTTTCTCAGTTCTTCCATCGTCTGCGTCGAGTTAAACACTGGTAACTTTTGAAATCGAAATCATGTTGGATCGAGTCAACTGCGTCTTATCAATGCAGTTTGATCAATCTAGATCTAATATATATCTGTTACTTCACAATCAACTCCAGAGTCACCACTCACCGCCTTCACTTTAATTGGCCTTAATCCAACTGTCGTTAATGATAAGCTGGTACGAATTAAATACGATTACGCTTAGAAATAATGACCGAAGGCCTGTGAATCTTCTTTCATTGACTGGTAATAAGCAACAGGCGGTCGTTCTCACATGATAATGCTTTATGGTCCATGTCCGGAAAGGAGATATATGTATCTTAGTGTCACCTTTGTTTTCTTATCTCCTACATATACTCTCCATTGTCTCAATAGGAGTGAGCTGTTGTTTTCATACAAACCACGAAGATTTGTAGAGATTTATCTCACGTCGCGCGTCTGCTATATATATGTGAGTCTCAAACAAACCGCGATGATATAGTTGTTAATTGTCGCTGGTGTGAAAATGTCAAGCATCGAGTTGAACCACTCAATCGGTCCACACGAACAACTCGATTTATTCAAGTTCTGCCCGTCAGAATCCATTAACGTTGAATATAGAGGAAAGATAGAAATATATGGGCAATGGGAATTTTGTCTTCGTTTTTTTTTTTTTTTTTTAAATAGCCAAAGCGTAGCTTAAAAGATACGCTTTTACGTCAACCTTTTCGCTTCTACTGAAAAAGAGAATTTATCGGCCGGAGTCTTAATCGTGCGCTTTCGGCGATTCAATAACGGGAACAACAAGCACACGATGCGTCAAAGGGATTTATTGCGTTTCGGAGTTAAGCTGATTGCGTTTCGAAGCGGATAGTTTCGGTTCTCTTGGAATACGCGCGATATGGGATAATCTGACGTTTCAAAGCTGTGGGCTTGCAGAAGTCTCTAATGATTCAGCGAATTTATTCAGACGTGACACATTAGTAAACTAATCTTTGACTGTGCTCTGTAATCACAAAGACAGTAATATAATATTTTTAGATACAAGACACTTAATTTGTTCACAAATCATGCGGTTATTAAGAGGATTCTATTGGATTTCGTTACTTCCTGTTGTACGTCACTATTTCATATTTAACATCTTAAAGGCTTTACTTCGAGATTTTGTGCCAACAAGTTTATACGTTTGATAATACTATGACATTGCTTATTCGAACAATTTGAATATTCAACGGAGGACTGTACTGACATAAATTCTAATCATACAATAGAAACCATTTACTTCATTCTGTCTAAATACTAAGATCCACTTCTGTCATTCAACACGTGTGTCGTCAACTTAATTAATCATAAGACTACTGACAGATCAAGCTCGACATATTATTAACGACCAGTGAACGTCACGCGCTTATTCCATAATTAATTTCTGTATGAGATGTAGTTTCAATTGGTAAATACAAGAATAATTTTAATGTAATGAACATTTATATTTGTAAACGAAGTGTATTGAATTGTTCAAACGTTTTAATAGAATATTGTTAATCTAAATTGAAATTTACGTAAAGTTATATAATTTAAAATTATTAAATAGACTGTTAGGATACAAATATTGCATATTAGTATTTACACGCGTTTGCAGCAATTCCTGAGTTATATTATTTAATTCCTAAGTACATTATTTAATATATTATATAATAATATAGTATATATTAGTTATTTAATGTTTTATTATTAATTATACCTGTGTAATACTGTCAACAGGGTTATTATCTTGTTGCACTTCATACTTATATTTCGAAACACATGTCACTTTGTACGATTTACGTAAAACCATCATCGTGAATGCATAATGAATGTGTTATCTTTCTAATAACTGAAAATAGTTTTTCACTTTGCATCTGGCTGTTTCAAGATAGAACTTTCTGGTTTTGAGTGATTTCGATATCATCGTTAATGAGATAAAAGTATCTTGATGATAACAGTTTCGTAAGAATTTCTCAACTTATTTACAAACATCTGTGAATAGCTTGTCTGATTACACTGTTTACCAAGACATATTATAATAGACTGGATTTGAACTACAACAAAACCGTCTTAACCGTCGCATGTTGGATCCGTCTGACTGATTTTTTTGGACTTTCGATATTAAAACATAGAAAAATATTTATATTCAGATTTTTTATCTGCTTATCTCAAGATTTAAGATTCGAAACTACATTTCGAAAATAATGGATTTTTTTCATTTTCAATATTATCTTCAAAATTGTAAAATACAAAAAAATGTTTTATACAAAAATATGATTAATATAAATACGAAGCCTACAATAGTCTAGTTGGATCTTAGTTGCTTATATATATATATATATATATATAATGTAGTCTTTCTAAACTGCGCGCCGAACAATTGTCGGTCTTGAACGCAACTCTAATAAAACCGTAGTACTATCACGAATTAAATTGATTAACAATTTAATAATTAATATGATATTTTATGGTATTTTATATTCTTATAATAATGGTGTATTCATCATTTTTCGAAAATGTCAAATTAATTTAATCCCATTCTCAAGAGCTGTGTCATCGCTTAAAACTTGAAATAAGCAGATAAAAGAAAATATGGAGCTAATATCTTTGATGCTTTACGACATATTCAAAGCCTATATCACAAAATTAGAGATAATTTCAACTATTTCCTTACTAGATTTTGTATCTCGATGATCTACTAAGGATAAATTCGATCTGGAACTGAAATATCTCTAAATCACACACATAGGTATATGAAAATATCTATAGCTTTTTTTTTAATCTTATACTATAGTATTACTGTCTTCTGACAATCTTCTAATTTATCTTTCTCATTATCTTCAAGTGACAAGTAATCACGCATAATACTGTAATTGCTTATAAGCTTGAAAAAGAGAGAGGAAGACAGAAATGTGTACTAAACAAATTTACTCCATTCTCTCGTATAAAGTAATGGCACATCTCTTACCGACTTAATGCATTTCGCGACAAATTGCTTCAGGCTGTAATCACGTAAATCGTCATTATCTTAACAATTTCTGTTATCTTAACAACTGGTTGCTACATTGGTTGCGCGAGACGAAGATTTTCGATCTTAACGAATTAATGCGGTATACGATTCGTTCTGGCGAAGAATAGCTCAAGCTTCGTTCGGACTTGAGCACAGCTCGGCTGGTTGTGTTTCGCATCGTTACGTCGCAAGCGTAAAGTTAATTAAAGTAATCCTCAGTTAATCGACGTCGCCCAGAGCCCGGAGTTCGCACGCTCGCGCGCGCTCATTATGTCGCTTTTATAAACGCGAATGTGGGCGGGAACGCCTGCCGCTCGAAGCGATTAAAATTTAAAGTGACGCGCGCACACCATTTACTCGGCGAAACGAGCCTGGCGCAAATATCGATCTGCTTCTTTTGACTTTTCTCCGCGCTTTCAGCCAAAAAGCGCGAATCTATTTGCCCGTCCGCTCGTTAACATTTACATTCGCCTTCGTTATCTTGTAATAGGAGTTTAACAAGATGTAACGTGATAACATTTTCGACACGTAATAAAATTAAAATCTAAATTCTTTTATAATCTCTATCATTTACTCCAAAAATTATAACAAAATTAGTACATCGATTCTCCATAGAGAACATTTTTGATTCGATTATAACGATTTATGCAGCAGAAAAGGTCAGGTTTAGGCTTTTTGTACAAATTATTCATTCGAAAACTTATTCGAAACGGCTTTCAAAGAGTGCGTAATTTATCGAAATATTATTTTTGTTCCTTTTGTCCGTGCTATCGCGTTATGTATTTTCTTCTATATATTGTCCTGCGTATCGAGTGTATAAAGCACTATATGTCGAGAGATACAGGATGACATTCAAAGCTTGTATAACGAATTCGATGAAATATCGACGTTTCAATCCCCAGCGTTCCTTTAATCTATTTTTTTTCTATCTCAGTTCCACTGATAAATCCATTTATCCATTCGCAGTCAGACATCCATTAAAGCTCTTTTTTTCCATATCAAAGGACAGGATGTTAAGAATGAAGAAAGAGGTACGTTCATTAGGCTCTCTGCGTGACAGTTGACAGACCTTCGCGGGTAAGATTTCGTCGGGATCGGAAAAAATATAAGTATCGAGAAAGATTCTTGCAGGAAGATTTACGTTTCCCTTTGCAAATGTACAGAAGCCGATTTGATTAAATTCGCATTGGTATGAATTTTGCCTCAGGCAGGGCTTCAGGTGAGTCACGTTCGATCTTGGGCCACTCTGTATCCGCGCCGTAACGAGTGCGCTATACACGTCGTATTATGCGGAATAAATCAGCGCTGAGAGATGTGGGATTATATAAGACATTAATCTTTTTGAGACGCACGATTTTTCACCCTCTTATTGATCTCCCGACAAGAGCAATGACTTTCGACGTTTCACGAGCCTGTGGACGGCTACGTGTTCGCGATGAAAAATTCATGAGGCGCTATGTAACGCGTATGTAACACGCTTGCCGTACATAAGACACGGTCCGCGGTAATCCCTGATTCGTATCGACATTGTGTCACGCGAATCATAATTGTCGCGCTCACTGGAAGTACAGGATTAAATTATTTATGGTTACTTCGCCGTATACGACGTCGTAAAATTACGAATTCTCTGTTGAAAAACACGTTTTTACTCTTAGATCAATGAATATTTCACTATGCGTTACTGCTGTTTCATAAGCCGCGTAACGAGGCTGGCTACTGTTTGTTATAGATTTTTTTCGAGGGTATAAAAGACGAGGAAAAGAGAGTTCGTTCTCGCGCAGCAGACATTATCCGTGATGTACGTTCTTGTAAATTTTCGCGAATTGCTCGGCGAGAGAGTTAATAAGTGCCAGCTCTCCTTAACTACGTAGATGTCTCATATTAAAATTCCATATATTTTAAAATGTCTCATTTACTACTCTTAAATGATATGAATTACACATGTTTGTAGCTATTTCATTATTCTATTTTTAGCACTTTATCTAATGTGATTCATTTAGCATATTATTTGAAGACGATAAATTAAAGTAAATTGTTGATAAAGCTCTATCAAAAGTCGTTGGAGCGTAAAGTTTTTCTTGAGGATATTTGCGACTCTTTAAAAAAGAAAGCTTGTGACGAATTGCTTCTTCTTTATCGGCGTCGTATAAAGATCAATTTATTTACGAAGACACGCGGCGTAAATGAAAACACAAATATTTCCTCAGTTGTACAACTTTCCAAATGAAATAGAATCTGCTTATATTATTTACGTTCAATTTGTTGTTATTACACGTATATTGTATATATTAAGTGCATACGAGAATGGTGTAGTCAATAATACACGTATTAATCGTGAAGTATTCAGATTTCGATAACGAAGAGTTAATTATTAAAGGTTAATTATTACAGGTTAATTATTATAGGTATATTTATACATTATGAAGATAATTTTTATGTAAGCGACGAAAATTTGGATTTGGAAAGCTAGTTTGCACTATTGAGCGAACTGATTATAACTTCGTTGTAAACCTTTCAGCAATGGATAACGCGATAATAACTTATACAAACGACTGATTTTACATACTAGAATTGACAGTTGCTAGACTAGACTGTTAAATGTTACGATTAAACCCACGCGACTTGCGCAGCTTGTGCTTTCTGTATAGCGGATTAAATAGCGATCAATGGCTATGATTTGAATTAGCGAATGAATAGGTACAAATCAATTGCAAATTACGTAACAACAAATTAGCAAATATCAGTTTAATCGATGTGTTTAGCCCGCTTTAAGCAGCTTATCGTTTTAGACTTAGGACGCAGTTAAAAATTTGAAAACTAAAAGTTCGCGAATTTGTTTTTGTTTATTGTTGATTTTTTGAATGAGCGATAAATTTGCAGTAAAAGTTATCTCATAATGTATCATTTAATATATCATAATGCTTGCATTATTAAATTCATAATATTAAATTATATTGAATATGAATTTAATCTCTAGATCTCTCCTACTTAATGTCGTTAATTTAAATAATGAAATAATTTGATTTAAATTTAGTTTATTATTTATTAAGTACATTAATATATTTGTTGTTTATTTTTAAATAATAATATAAATGTATTGACTTACGTTTGAAAAAGTCAAAATGGAAGTTGAAAACAACAAAATGTTATTTAACTTAAATGAATTGAGTTACCATTGCTTTTTCTATATGTAACAGCGTATTTTAGCAATTTTTTAAATAACAAATTTTTGTAAAAAATAGAAGACCGAAAAATGAGAGATTAATAGAATTTCTATAAAAAACTTTGAAGTATATTCTGTCATATTTGACAATGGAATATGATTTAATAGAAGTGAAAACTGCATATTGCAGTAATTTCCTCTTTCTCGTATTTCCCTCGTGACGAGCCCTACTAACTTTGTGTTTGCATTTTTTTTCCTGACTCGCTAATAGCGACAATTATGTGGTTCTCGACGCACATGCTTATGCTTTAGCTCCCGTGTGGCGCGGTAATTAATCAGAACATAACAGCGAATTGCGAATGGAAGTCGTATGCATAACATAATCTCTAATGATCATGTCGAGACTGAACTTTTACTCGCTCTATATGAAATACATATATGTGTATATAATTATTAGATAAATCGTCAAAACAGTATGTTATCTACAGCAAATATTACTTTAAAAAAATAGAAATTTTACGCGTGACGTCAATCGACATCGCATGGAAAGATCAAGTTACAACGGTAGATAAAATAACATCGTTCATTGTTGCTCGAATTACAATCAATAGATCCTATGCGAGTGTATGTAAAAAAATTAGATATACAAAATTATCAAAATTTTTTAAATATTAAGTTGGTGGAAAAATTCGCGGTTTTTGTTAGCACAAAACTATATGTATACAATATCTTCATAAAAAAAAATTTTAATTTAAATTTAAATTTAAAAAAAGGGAAATTTTTCTTCTCACTTTGTCATGTACCGTCATGTACCAAAAAAAATTTGCAAAAATTTTCGACTATCTTAAACGTAAAAGTTTAAAGTTTTCCCTAAAAAATCCTACGATTTTTTGTTCCTGAGTTATTCGCGAGTTAACTAAAGGAACACACACATACACACACACACACACACACACATTTTGATATTAATTACTCACAACTCCGTTAAAAATTATTTTGTACTACAATTAAAAAATTAGATTCTTAAAGCTGAAACTTGCTCTATTGAATGATACAAATAAGAACTCTTCCTCTATATAACCCAATGATTCACATGTTTTATAAAATATGCCCGATATTATTATATTTTAATAGTTTTCGCGGCTTAATATAGATTTGTGAAGACTTACCTCACGAAGAGAATGATTTCGCAATTCAAATGCATATCCATCCTCACTTGTCCTCGCCGTTGTCATGGAGGCGACAGCAACTTAGTCGCAATTTAATTGCCGTCCTTTACTTTATTCATCTAACTGAGAGAGAGTCTGGTTATAGAAGTGATGAAGAAACAGCGATAGGGAGAGTCGAGAGGGAACAGAGTGCGACGAACAGAAGGAAAAGAGCTTAACTTTACTTTGGAACTTTGGCGAGCAAGGCTACCCCGCGGGAAATCAATGTCTGACGGTTCAAAGAAGAAAGTCGAAGAGGAAGAGGACAGTGATCGCGTGTGTATGCGTGACTTGGTTTATATGTGATGGTTAATTTGATAACCAACTCATGCTGGCTATCTCATCTCAGTCTCTTCCTCTTTGACTTCTCCCCGCAAAACTTTTTGCCGTCGCTTTGCCAATTTATAACTTCAAGACGAGAGGTTTAGGAGGGGAGTAGGTACGACGAAGAAATACTCTCAAATAATTAAATAGGAGATCTGCATTTTACAAAGCAATAAGTTACACGAGAATCCTTACACGCGAAACCAAAGCCCCAATTCGAGTCGTGGCACGCATTTCTTGTCTCCCTATCGTGCTTTCCTTTTCTTTCCATTCCGTTTTATTATACAAATATGAAACGTAATTAAGTCTGAAGGCAGTGGATCGCAATGATAAGAAGCGCAATGGGTCCTTTTCCTATGTAGAAGATCGTTCTCGAGCTAATTCCACGTGAGAAAATATACATGCGGCATATATGTGCTGTCGAACAAAAATACGAATATCTAAAATTTAAATTATTTAACGTCGGTATTAAAACCGAGAATAAAGTTTCAATTTGTCATTTCGCAAGGCATTACGATATTCCTACTTACAGTTTCTAACGAAAAGATATGAAGTTTCTTTCTTTACTCGTATCAAAGATGCTACATTGCGATTTTTGTTCGATAGTACAATGTGCGCAATTCTCATCAACATTCACATTCGCGTTTGCGAAGAAATGGCTCGAATTCTTGTGGAAGACTGGAAAGGGACGACGTCGTTGTCATCGACGTTCTAAAAAAAATGAATAAGATAATAGCACCGCGGACGCACGACCAGACGCGCCGTACAAATATTAGCCACGACATCAAGATTTTCAGGGAATTATACATAGTTAGCACCTAAAAAAAGTTATCATCGCTCGTAGAAAGTGGCCACGCAATTAATTAGCTTAATGACCCGTTATTTCATAAGTTTGATTTCGTCAACCGCTAGCTTCTACGCTAGTTTCATTCGCCTTCGAAATGACTTTATTCCCTACAACAATGAAGAAAGGACGCCCAACTCTTTCAGTAGCGTTATTCAAGTAGCACAAAAGGAAAATCTATCGTGACCGCGTGCAGTTAGCCGCCCTTCGTAATTTTCGCAGTCTTTCATCTCTCCGGACTGTTACTCTAGTCTTATCACTTTCATCTTCGGTCATACGTTAAATACGGGGCGGCTATACAGAGTTCACGTTCTATTCGATGTCTCGGATGCGCGGAAGTTCATCTACGATCTGATTCATTGATCCCGATTCGGTCGTACCTTCATCATTTTGATCGGACTCGATGTCCGATGATGGCTCGGATCAATCACTGAAAAAAAGAAGATTTTCTTTTACAACTAGATCGAACAATGACAAGACGATTCATTCACAGATGAAACGTCAACGTGTTTAAAATGCATTTGAAATCATTACATATTTTTAGAATGTTGCACGTATTACCTGTCACTGTTTTCGCTGGTGGCTTCCTCGCTGCAGTCCAAGTCAAGTTCCCCTTGAATAGCACTCTGTAAATCGTCGATCCTTTGAAGCGCCAATCTGAGGTCGTCTCTAGCCACCTTTGTCTCAGCCTCCGCGGCTTCCAAAGATTTTTCTATGTCACGCCGAGCACGTACGGCTTCCTGCTCTCGCGATATCGCAGCGCTAGCTTCGTCGCGTGAATCGCGTAAAGAACGTTGCAACCGTCTCGCCGCATCCTGAGCGGTCTGCTCCTTCGTTCTGAGTAAGGCTGATTCCGTTTGTAACTTGTCAACGCTTTCCTTCAATCGTGCTATTTGCGTCTGAAAATAGAAACGAGGGAAATGGTTACCGTCTAGTGGATTCAATTCACTTACTCAATGTTTACAGATTTTCGGAAAACAAATTTAATGTTTGATTGAAGTTTAAGATACGAAACTTGGTATGAAATATAGGTTCATATAGAGTTCCTATTCCAATCAAATAATTCGCAATTAGTGAAAGATGGAATTCCAGCAATACCTCCAAACGTGCTCTCGTAGTCTGTTCCAGTTCGAGCTTACTTTCAAGCTCTTTGGCACGGAACTCCAAGCGTCTTGTCGCAAGACTGTTTGCCGTTGGATCGCCGAGTTGCTCCACTGATTCTAATCTCTGCGTTAGTTCTGCTAATTGGTCCTTCAGTGACGACTTCTCCGCTTCGAGTGAGGCGATTTGCACTTGTGCCTCTTGCAATTGGCTTTGCTCCGCAGAGACTTGTTGCACTGAAGCACGATATTTCTTTAAGACCTGCAAACGGAGAATAAAATCCACTTAAAATCACTTTATCGCTGTATAATTTTTATTAAAAATAATAACTACTATACATATATATGCTAGTTGGCAATTTTACAACAGTTGTTGCATACTTTAACTATATTAAAAGTCGGATTCCACGAAAATTGAAACAGATTGATTGATTATATATTATTGTAAATATATCAACTTACTGCTTTTTGTGAGACATGGAATAAAATAACATACCTCAGCAAGCTCTTCCTCGTTTTCTTCTAACTGAGACAACAATTCTGAACGTTCGCGATTAGCCGCATTGGCTCGTTCCTCCGCCTCGGAACGCTGTCGCATGGCTTCTTCCAAAGATGCCTGCGTTTCGTTTAGCTCCTGTTCCAATGCTTGTTTCGCTTTAATCGCTACTGCTCGAGCGCACTCTGCATCTTCCAATTGATTTTTCAATTGACGCAGCGCAGCTTTACCCGTCGAATCACCTTTGGATCTTTCGAGCATTGTTTGTGCATCTCTCAGTAACGCCTTTGTTCTCTTCAAGTCTCTCTTCAATCTGTTTAATTGCATTTACATAACGAATCCTTAAGTTTTTATTTTTAATTTTTATTACATAAATAAAAAGAATGTTTTTTAAATAAATTACAAAACGAGACAGAAAAGAGAAAAAAGTAAAATATTGATAATCACCTTTGCATGGTCTCAGCTTCTGCCGCACGATCGGCTCGATCTTGTTCTTCTAGAGCTACTAAACGCCGCTCCAATTCGTGCTTTTCCCTTAAAAGAATTGTCCTTTCCTCGTGTTCGTTTTCCAACTGCGACTCGAGTGCTTTAACCTTCTTGTGCGCGTTTCCACGAACGTCCTCCAGCTCTTCGTCACGTTGTTGCATTTCTTTACGCATTTCTTTGCGCTGCTGTTCAATACTCATCTCCAGTCTGAGTTTCGCTTGCTCGAGCAGCTGCACTTGGCCAGCCAGATCATCCAACTCTTCCTCTTGGTCCTTCGCGCGTTTCTCCAGCTCGTGTTTAGCTTTCTTCAGTTGCGCAACTTCCTCTTCCGTTTTACCGCCGAAAGTTAGTTCTTCTAATTCTTGAGTCAATGTACGAAGTCTTTCCTCCTTGAGCTCAATTTCCAATCTTGCGTCCTATTATAATAATATACTCAGATATATACAATATTGTATTCAACTTTCTTAATCTGGGAAAAAACAAGAGGAATAAGAAGAAAAATGTACTCACGCTCAGATTCTGCTCTACTGTGAATTTTTCCGCGATCGCGATCTCTTTTTCCCTCGCTAATCTTTCACGTTGTGCTTTCTCTTGTCTAAGGTCATTCATCAGATTTTGAGTCTCCGAATCAAACCTAAATGTGACATTAACGTGATAAATAAAAAAAAAATGTTTATTTTGTGATTATAATAACAAGTTTTGTATATTGTTAAAATTTACACGCATAACAAATTTAAGTATCATTTCGTATATTCTTAAAAATAAGGAAATACATGTATAAACTTAAAGATAAAAAGATTTCAACAATATTTTGTGCAAGAAGAAATTTATATATATATATATATATATTTGTAACATTCAATAATTCACTGGGATTAACAATTAATTTATATTTGAATGTACCGTATGAATTAATTATATTTAAAATGTATTAGAGAATGGACTGACAGGGAAGAGATTTCGGGAACAAATCCAATCTCACTGTTGTAACGAGATCAGAGCTTTAACCGCCAACGGCGCGTGCTGCATTTAGATTAAACAGGAAGCTATCTTCGCAAACGGTCAATCGTGATTTACAGGCACACCGGACGCGTCGCCGAATGCTGGCAGCGTTGGGTGGCGTCACCGGCCTGGCGAAGTGCCAGAGACACTTGTTGCCGCGAGTGAAATGAGAATAGAGCGAGCTACCATTCGAGATACCGACTCTTGTCGACTATTAGCCGCAGATTAAATGCACCAGCATATCTCAAAGCGTGACAGAGAGCGTCCAATTCGCGCAAAGTCTGTAACTTTGTTAACTTATTATATTACGAGACTCACTTGCGCTGCTTCTTCTCGAGGAGGTTGTTCCTAGCAGTTTGTTCCTCCAACAGCAATCTGATATCGTGCATCTCGCCGTTCAGTTTCTGAACTCGTCGCTTCCACTGTCCGACGACTTGTCGTTGCTCCTCCACTTCTTCGTAAGCATCGGCCAACTGTTTAGCGAAACAAGAAGACATTGATGAAGATGATACTTATCGTGATAATATAAATAACTTGATGTACCTTCTTTTCTAATTGTTTCTTCAATCCGACCAGCTGCTCCAGATCATCCTCGTGCTGTTGCGCCATTTTCCTCTTTGTGAATTCGAGTTCCCGAATAGCGTGCTCGTATCGTTGTCTATAAACACCACCATCCTCGCCTTCCTCACCATCGGAAGCGACCCCGTTCAAATCGGCAGCCCTCGCGTAGAGCAGTTCCATCTCCAATCGTTCGGTGGTCTGTTGAAGACTTTTGTTAGCTTCAGTTACATCTTGCAATTCACGCTCGAGTCGCAATCGTTCCGAAGTCTCAGCATCAATCCTTTCCGCCGCCAACGTCGATGTAGAATGCTCCTCCGCGAAGTCCGCAGTCATCTCGCTCAGCTGGAACAGAAAAACGCATATTGCATGAGGAAACCGAATACGACACGTTGTATGCAAACCACGGATCAACATTACTCCAGCCTCGTGTTGCTACTTTCTTCATTCTGCGGTTTTTTAATTTTAAATATTTCTAAAGTTGAAAGTAAGATGAAAATCGCATACACTTATGGAAATTATCTTACATCACAAAGTTTTTGATTTTTGATAAAAATATGAAACTATCGTTTGTTGCAGCTCTGTACGTTACATTTACCTCCTGCATTCCATCCGAGGTGCGGTCTTCCGAAGCGCGAGACAAGGAGCGCCTCGAAGGACTCTTTGCTACGCTGTTCGATCTACTGTAATACTGATAGCCACGTATCTTGATATTCGTAGCACTCTGACTCCTACCGATTACGCGAGATTTATCTCGCGCGTACGGCAAACTTATCGGTTCGTCGTCTATTTCATCCCGGTGACCAAGGCTTCGCCATTCGTCCATGATGTGATCGGTACGTTTTAAAAACTGAGAGATCTTTGACGAGAGATACGATGAGGCGGTTGACGAATCTAAATGGGACGCGATAGGTCTGAAGGATTGCTTTACCCTCTGCCGTTTGCAGCCTAGGATAAAGTTGAGACTTGCGTCGAAGACAACTGGCGCTTGTTCTTTGACCAGAACATCCCCGATCGCCGGCAAACATGTGATCTCACGAGGATACGTCCTTCGTGGCGGAGTCGAGAAAGACGATTCCAGCTGAGACAATCGGCTCCGCGAGGAAAGAACGGATGGCGATCTGGTCCCAGCGGATAGGGATTTTGAGCGATAAGTAACACTGGAGGAGACGCTGCACGGGGAAGGACTTCGTACTGTGCGATTCGAACTACCAACAATGTGTCCTAGTCTGCTAGATGGTTTCTTCTGATGATTACAATGTGGGGGCAAAGGCGGTCTTTTCGCCAAGCCCGTGGAGTTGGATAAATTTGGCAAGCCATTGCTTATTGAGTCGTTTCTTTCAAACGTTTCGTCAGAGCTGGTAGATGTTAATGCGTTCACATGCTGCGGATTATTGTGAGAAGGAGAAGCAGTACCTCGGTACTTCGTTGGTAGGGAAGGCATCTTGAGAAGTAAGTTGATGCAAGGTTAAAATTAATTCAAGGATATTAATTTGGCATATGATTAATACAATCATCGGAGCGAGAAATGGATTGGTCTAAGCTTCCGAAGTTGATGTTGTCGCGGTTGGCATTTCAATTAGCTTTCTTTCGCTTCATTTGTGCTGTATCTAACGGCCGAGACACCGACGACTCGTTACATTACTACGACAAATTACGTAACGACAAACGACGACGAGGACACCCGTGTCGGCAAGGAGTCGCGATGCAACTGCCTCTTCCTGGGTTGGAACCAGCGGAGGCGTCCGGTGGAGGAGGTGGTCACCTCCGAGTTATTCTAAGGGGAAGGTGACTAGAAGGAGAGAACCGGTGAGAGAGATAAAGACGGAGAGAAACGTGCAAGACGGTGATTCTGGCTATTCGCCAGATTCTCTATAGATTTTGTGAGAAAAATATTGGGAAAGAGAAACATAGAACTAGTAATTCGATAGAAAATCTAGGAACTTGCAGTATCTCTTCTGCATTTACAAAAATAGAATGGATGAAAAGAGAGGGAAAGAAAAGTTTCCGTACCGTAAAATAGGTTAAGGTGATTCCAGTGTGCTAATGCAAGAACAGAAAAAGAATTATCACGCGAAATTTATTACCATTTATTAGTTACTGACTAGTAAATGGTGATTTTGTTCGATTATTCGTTATTGAATGATAAAAAGAGCAAAATGGTGTTTTCTTGAGTAACTGTTCTTCTTATGAAGATGCATTGATTGCCAGTGTTTTTAAGTACTAGCCGCAGATTAAAATGGTAATGTAACGCACAGTCGAGTCACGATAATAGTTGCGCACGCTCGACACGAGTCGTCTGGCATGCTTAACCCAATTGCGCGGCGTGCGTGCCGCGAATGCCTAATCGGGCAGTTGAGCTTAATGCATCCTTCGAGATTGTCTCTATTAGGTTCATCATGCGGTCACCACGCGAAATCGTTGCGGTGGATAACAAAACTAAGAGGCGTAAGCACGAGCCCCGATTCAAGTAACGAACGTTCAAGCCACTCAAGACACCTTAACCGTCTCGCGAGAAAAAAGATATTTCGCAATTAAAAATGAATATCCACGTTGAATAATCACTCAGCGTTAACTCACCTTTGCCTCCAACTTGTCATTGTCATGTTTCAGGTGATTGCGTTCCTGCTCTAAGCGTTCCACTTTTGCCCTGAGAAGCTCGAGCTCTTCCTATTGAAATAAAAAGAAGAGACGTTTAAGATCAATTATATGGAGAACGTACGTATTATATGGAAAATATTTTTCTCTCTTACCGTACGAGCCTTTAGCTGATCTTCGGTCCGATGGACGTTCAACAAGGGCGCGACTTTCACGTACAATCTCCACCAAGGCCATTCTCGCACGGACATTAGCTTCCTCACGTTCCTTTGGATGCATCGCACTGCAAGATCTTGCAGCTGTAAGAGAATTTAATTTACAATTCGATCCGGACTGTCATTATACAGTCTGTCGTAAATTATTACTAAAGAAAGTGCAAACAGGGTGAAGATATATCTACTGCGTTCTATCTTTCTTTCATTAATCGCTAGATTAAGAACTTCGGAGATCTCTATAAACGCGCCGCAAATTCTTTGTAGATTTACAGCCATTAGTAAGAATGAGATTGCAATTTTTAAACGAGACTCGTAATTTTCTGCGTTAACTGAATTTATTCAAAAGAGGGGAAAGTGTTTTGTTCGCGATTCCTTACGCGCGATTAAAAACTTTCTTTCGAAATTTTAAGACGATTGTACAGCGTGTTTTAATTTATAATAAAAAGAACATTAGCAACCCACTTTCAAAGTATTGAGTTTGCGTCGCGCTAAATAGCCTCTGCATCTCGCCTGCAGCAGAATGATGTGACCTGTCAGCTTTTCGTCCCTCTGAGCTTCTAACCGTTCCAGGGTACCAGATCTGAAGAATATCTGCGAACACAACAGTGGATATCTATGAATTTATACTTATCGATTAATATTAACCAACGCCTAGACTAACCGGTATTTTATCGTTAGGATCGCGTTTTAATTAAATGCGTGCTTTGCCTATTTACGTTTCAAACGGATAAGAAAAACCGCACTTTAAATCCGAGTTCAGAGGCGACGGTAAATGTTAAATATGCATGGCATAGTTTTGCATCTCGTATGGTAATGAAGGATGAACACACATAACTTCTGGAGCGTAAAGGCGCGTGGTGTGCCGTGACATCTCGATTGCATTAGAGAGGATACGTTTTACATAATACTATGCAACAAATATAGTGGGTATTTTACAGTTACGTTGACAAAGTGACTTTCAGTTTTATAATATGTCATGCATCGTTATGAGTTGTTGAAACAATTAGTATGTTTCAAAAGATTTCAATCGAAATTTAGGAAGCGACGGTAATTTTCTATATAAGTATGTAAAATTAAAACGTTAATTGAAGAAGGAAAATTTTTAATGATAATTTATGTTACGCTAGATCTTTAGTATTACGTGAAAAGGTCAGTTTTTGCTGAAATATATAAAAATTTAACTAGGTACAGATTTAAAAATAATTTTGTTTTGAATTTATTATTATTATCTAGGACGCTCCAAAATTGAATGCTAGTTTGTCACTTTTCGCAGCATTGCTCATCATGCTTGAAATTTCTTTGTAATTATTCCGATAGTCTAATACAATTATTTTCTATCTAGCTAAATTTTTCAAATACTTTAACAAAATTATTCTTTGTATTTATTTTAACTATCAAATCTTAACTCTTTCCGCGATATAAATCATAAACAATGTTCGATAATGTTCGATAAATGCTACAGCTAACAATCATGTGAGACATAATCATAAGACGGACCTGTCGTCCATTTTCCGAGCATTTGTCATTGATTTGACAACAGTTAATACTGTTATCATCGCAAGACGTCAAACGACCTTCTCGATCAACGATGATATTCTTCTTTTCTGATTCGGTGAGTCTGCGAACGATCGTCGAGTCGAAAATCTTCACGGTGTCGTCTCGGTCGATCCTGTCGAAGTACTGCCGTTCCTTGAAATCATTCGTCTCTTTCTGATTTGGATTCTCCAGAGTTTCCTTCCATTCCACCTCATTCTCGTTGCTTATGTGACCGCTGTCCTCTGAACTATTTCCATCCGATGTGTAGCCGCTGTACTCGTTCGCATTCTTAGATTCGTTCTTCTTCAAGGCAGGTGTTTCGATCACAGGGACGTTCGCGGGTCTTGGCTTGATTAGAGTTTCCCGCGGAGATTCTTTGGAGGCTTCGGCATTCTTGCAATTAAAGAAATTTACCAAGTGCTCGATATCGGTAGCCTTCTTACTGACGCACTGCTTCCTTTTCGTCCCTTGCGCGTCATCGACAACATCGTTTTCAGTTCGAACCGCCTTTGATAAATTGACAATTTTCCCGGAACTCGCAACGTAGATCGTCTTCGCGTCAGAATCCTGATTGCCTTTACTCTGTTTCTCCCAATTACGTCTCAGTTCTTGAATGGAAGTTTCCTTGATTCTTCTCGACTTCTCGGCAGCTTCTTCCGGTTTCTCACACTTCTTGATCCGGTTAGATGTACATTGTTTTACATAATCTCTTTTTTTCGACTCTTCCTCTGCCTTTGTATTATCTGTAAACATATCCATCTTCCTTCTCTTTGAGTCTTCCTCAATTCTCTCCCCGCTCTCGTCGTCAAAATTACAATTCTTTATAATAATACTAGCTTTATTATCGTGCAGGGTCTCTCGATCCTCATAGACGATTTCCGTTCTATAGGGAAGAGCGACATCCACGACATCCAGAGACACGACCGTCCCCTTAGGTTCCAAGTCGTCCTCTAGTTGCGCCATTAATCGCGCGGCTCTCTCTTCCAAGTTACTTGTCGACATCGAAATCCTCGAGGTGCTCAGCTTTGAAGCACGATCAAGGGTCCCGCGACAATTCTCATAGATACGCTCATCTGACGCGGTGTCGAGATCGAGCTCGAAACTAATCATCTGACCAACTGACTCTCCGACGCGATCTACTTGCGATAGATCGGCGAGAGATCGGCCGAGACTGGTAGATCGAGCTGCCGGAAGCGGTATCTTGCTCGGCCTGGCGACCGAGTTTAGCCTCGCGGGTGCACCGTAAGATCTCCTGCATTGATTGTAATCCACTTTTGGCGTTTGAACGCTCCAAAGACTAGTAGATCTGCTCATGAACGTTAGAGTTTTCCGCGATATTTCGGCCTTCTTTCCTTTTTCCACTGATCTCCTTTCCAACGGAATTGGAATCCATCGTGGAGATGATGCGAAATTCGTTTGATTGTCCGCAGACACGGAGTTCAAGCTGATTGAACGATCTAGGCTGCTGCTCTTTCGTTGCAACGTCTCGGGCTTCGCTGGCATCTTTTCGGGTGTATAAGTGAGACCTTTCTTTAGCAATGCTCTGTCTTCTAATATCGTGCACGAGGGAGACGAGCTAACCGACTTGCAAACCTTCTTCTTGTCGTTGTTGCGCGCAGGAGATGGCACAGTTTTTGTCGCATCCGGTCGGGTCTCGCTTGGGGATCGTCTCGCAGGCTTTGAAGGCGAAGCAAGTCGGTGCTTCGAGGAATCCGAATTGTTAGAACCACGACACGCCGAGTTAATTGTGTCGTTAGTCATTTTGATAGATATCTTCGAGATTATTGGTGATTTTCCAGAACGAATCGGCTTGATCGGAGCAATTGTGGGATTCATCATCCGGTTTGATTGGTTTTGCTTTTTAACGGACGAAAGTGACGCTTTTAACACGTTCGGGCTACTCTTGGCCTTAACTAAAGGCGAGCCATTGCAGCTGCTCGCGTATTTTGATACGTTATCGAACATGATGGAAAACCTAAAGTCAGATTTGGTAAGGGAAGGAATAAATCGTTACTTGTAGGGAGAATAACATTTTGATTCTAGTTATCTGTTATAACATTTTTAATTATAATCTATTATTATCATTAATAAACTATTCTATTTTTTGTATTGCAATTTACATAAATCCCTAAGTCAATTTTTTGACGTATTAGAAATTAATGATTGAGGTTAATTAAATTTAAGCAGCATATTTCACGACTTCTTCGTATTATAATTTTTCCATATCATTGCAAATATTTTGAAAAATAAAAAATTCTATTTTACTACTTTTTCTCACTTATAATAGATTTTAGCTTCAATAACATTTTCAACAAAAAAAATCGAAATACACTTTTCTTGATATTTAATATTTTTTAATATTATCAGTGTTTCTAATTTATGAAATATTGATTAAGCGCAATCTTGAATTAATGTTGAATCGATCAGTTTTTATATAACTGTAAAATCAATAATATCTTTTTGTTTAATTTGATTAGATATTACACAAGAGCTAATGAGACGAAAACGAATAACAATAAACACAACATTCGCCTGTTTCTGTGAATAACTATTTTATACTTCGAATTAATTATTTTAATATTGCTTATAAACCGATCTTTTATTTATGAACACAAAGACACTTTTTGTCTGTAAATAAATATTGTATTATTTTCACCTCTATATGTTTATAACACTGTTTTAAATCGTGTTCTTTGCAATCTCTTCAGTCGATATGAAGCAATTCATTATTTCGCGCGCAAACTTTATATTTGAATAAACGTGCATTCGTACTTGTACGAACGATTTGTGATTGGATACTTGTAGATTTATCGGAAGACTGGATTTTTAATTCTAAAGTAGCGTAAGATCTGTAAGACGGACGACATATTTAATCACACGAACGAGAGAATATTTAAAGTTTAATGGCTTGTCAATGCCAGATCGTTTGCTGCACTTATCGCCAACTCTAAATCACACCCCCGATCACTGATACGAACGAGATCACGATAATTCCTCGCACTTGCAAACGTCGCGGGATGAATGATTGCTGAAGGAGAGCTTTTTCTCTCTTCTACCGCGCATAGAACGAGCCGCGTAAAAGTGTATACGCACCCGACTGCGAGAGCAGAAGTGAGGAAGCGAAAGAGAGAACGGCAGACGATTCAAGAGGGAGGGATGGCGGAGTGAGGGAAATAAAGAGGAGAGGTTCGAGAGACCGGCAGGGGGAAAGGAGCAGATTATCTTGAAGCCGGTTGAACGCATCGGCCTGCAATTCTCAACTAGCAGGAAGATCCAGCCGGTTAATGCACGGATTTGCCAGCTTATCATTTTCATTGAAGGGATACACCGCTTTTTTTTTTTTTAGCTTTGAGAAGTAGGAGACATACCGGAAGAATGTAACAGCAAAAGATCCTCTTAATGTTTTATTATATCGAGAGGTTTTCGAGACAAGTGGTATCAGCTAGATTACGGCGGAAGAAATTTCGAAATGCACTATGTACTTCTGAAGAAAAAGGATGACGAAATAAATATATCGGACGTTGGGGAAATGTGAAATTTTACTGAAAGTAGTGTGACGAGATTTTTTATAATATAATTAAAAATCTTTTATTATTTTTACATTATTTTTATAATTATATTATTATTTTTTATTTAATTTCTTATTACTTAATTTTTTTCATAAAGAAATTCTATTTTTATTATATCGAAAGATTATTTTAATTTGTAGTTTGAAATTTGCCAGAAGTTTTGCTAAAATTTAATTTTCTTTATCTCATACATCACTAGATTGCATGGTTTGTGGTAAAATAAATAGATCACCAAGAAATGTTAATAAGTGCAGAAACTACACGTTAAATGTGGTGCAACTTGGTTAATTAAACGCGTAACACGAATATTGTGTAAAGTATATTTGGCAATTCTGAGAAGACCGTGTCTTCTCCCCATTAATTACATGATGCGTTCGTCTCGAGATAAAACACCCGTTAAACGAATGTCTGTGCTACAGTTGAGAGAAACGAAACGTTGAGATCTTTCGACATTAAGCGCATTGAAGCTTTAAAATAATTCATGGT